GTGACCCTAGATAACAACCTGTCCTTCACTGCAAACATCGCTGCTACAACCCGCTGCTGCAGATACACGCTTTACAACATCAGGAAGATACGTCCCCAGCTGACTCAGAAAGCGACTCAGGTTCTGGTCCAGGCTCTCGTCATCTCACGCCTAGACTACTGAAACTCCCTCCTGGCTGGTCTACCTGCATGTGCCATCCGACCTCTGCAGCTCATCCAGAATGCAGCGGCTCGTCTGGTCTTCAACCTTCCTAAATTCTCCCACACCACTCCGCTCCCTCCACTGGCTTCCGGTAACTGCTAGAATCCACTTCAAAACACTGGTACTTGCTTACCATGCTGCGAATGGATCTGGCCCTTCCTACTACCAGGACATGGTTAAACCTTACACCCCAGCGCGTGCACTACGCTCTGCATCAGCCAAACGACTCGCTGCGCCCTCGCTGCGAGGGGGACCCAAGTTCCCATCGGTAAAAACACGTGGGTTTGCTGTCCTGGCTCCAAGATGGTGGAATGAGCTCCCCATTGACATCAGGACAGCAGATAGCTTACACACCTTCCGGCGCAGACTGAAAACTCATCTCTTTCGACTCCACTTCGAGCGTTAGAACTATTAACAAAGCACTTTTATACTAATAAAGGACTGGCTTATCTAAAGCCAGTTGAGTAGCACTTGAAATGTTTTGGCTCTATGAAACCTGATGTACTTTATGATTCTGTTTTCTTCAAGGTTGTGTCTTCCTGGTCGAACGTACTTATTGTAAGTCGCTTTGGATAAAAGCGTCAGCTCAATGCAATGTAATGGTTGCTGATTGGCTAATGGTTACACAAGACAAGACATCGTTATGACATCATAAAGTGGCCAAAATCTGATCAGCTCATTTTCAGACAGGTTTTTATAGAAATGGATCAAAAAGAGAGAGAATCTTTGTTCCTGAAACTTTCAGAGTCTTTCCACAGAGGGGACACATGTTGATGTAGAAGAGACACGAAGAAGAGGGGACACATGTTGATGTAGAAGAGACATGAAGAAGAGGGGACACATGTTGATGTAGAAGAGACATGAACAAGAGGGGACACATGTTGATGTAGAAGAGACATGAAGAAGAGGGGACACATGTTGATGTAGAAGAGACATGAAGAAGAGGGGACACATGTTGATGTAGAAGAGACATGGAGAAGAGGGGACACATGTTGATGTAGAAGAGACATGAAGAAGAGGGGACACATGTTGATGTAGAAGAGACATGGAGAAGAGGGGACACATGTTGATGTAGAAGAGACATGGAGAAGAGGGGACACATGTTGATGTAGAAGAGACATGGAGAAGAGGGGACACATGTTGATGTAGAAGAGACATGAAGAAGAGGGGACACATGTTGATGAAGAAGAGACATGAAGAAGAGGGGACACATGTTGATGAAGAAGAGACATGAAGAAGAGGGGACACATGTTGATGAAGAAGAGACATGAAGAAGAGGGGACACATGTTGATGTAGAAGAGACATGAAGAAGAGGGGACACATGTTGATGAAGAAGAGACATGAAGAAGAGGGGACACATGTTGATGTAGAAGAGACATGAAGAAGAGGATTTTGCATGATAGTTCTCCTTTAAATCCTTCTTTAGCAGTGAGTAAATAAAGGAACGTTTTGAAGCTAACTAAAGTACCTGGAGAGCACGGCGAGGGTCCCCAGGTTGACCCGGTGGATCCCGTCCAGCAGCAGCAGCTTCCCCTCCAAGGCGGCGGTCACCAGAGGGGAGGGTCTCCACGCTGTGTCTCCGTTAGGGAGCGTGCAGCGCTGCTGGAGGAGGTCTCTGGCCGTCATGTCCTGCAAGAAGAGGGGGAAGAGTTCAATTCAAGGTTTTATTGTCATTTGCACATTAGCTACAGTGGCAATGAAAAACTTAGGTCGCAGGCTCCTCCAACAGTTCAACATATAGGACATCAAATAGTGCAAGAGAATGTTTTATAGTAGTGTAGAATAGTCTATAGCAGGGGTGTCAAACTCAATTTCATCACGGGCCACGTAGGAATTATGGTTGCACTCAAAGGGCCGGTTGTAACTTTAAGACTATATCAAAATACATATATAAATATTTCATATATATAAAATAATGTATTATATTACATTATTGCCTCTGCATTGGATTATTATCGGATAGGGGAATAACTTCATAATTAACTACGTCTGAAAGCAGAAGTCTAGGGCAAATAATTGCAAGTCTCTTCAGTGAGAATGTCACAAAATGATTTAAAAAGAAAAGCCAAATTCTGGAAAAAATAAATAAAAAAGTGACATTTTAGAAGAAAGAAAACTGCCATAAAATAAAAAAGTTAAATTCTGAGAAAAAAGTCAAATTTCCGATGCATTGTGGGACATGCAGTTTATGGGCAACGTGCTTCTGTAAATTGCCATGTAACCGTATAATAAACATATTCTATTATTTCAGAGCTCTTGTGGGGCCACAGAAAATGAAGTTGCGGGCCGGATTTGGCCCCCGGGCCTTGAGTTTGACACCCCTGGGTTGCGTTCCAATAGTCCATTTAGCTTAGGAACCTTCCTAACGGAGTGAAATGACCCGGAAGTCCCTCAGTGGCAGCCATGATAAGTGCCGTTCCAATTCTCCAAATGAAAGGAAAGGAGGTTTCAAACTTCCTTTATAACCTCCTTTAGCTTAGGAACCACTGGACCTCCCTCACCGAAAGGAGAGGAGAAAATGCTGCCCCACAATGCATTGCAGCCGCAGCATTTGCCGTCACTCAACAGTCGGCCGTTCACGGAAACACACGATTATGACCGATAAATGATATCATGAAAGTTACGGTGCTTATTAAGCATTTTAAAACGTATGTGGTAAGTTGACAAAGTGCTTTGTTCTGAACGTTCATCAGTATTATAATCAAAAAGAGAAATATGAACGTTAGTTTTTACTGAAATGATCAAATAAAGTCAACATCTCACAGTCTTTACTGAGCTGTGTGGTTTGTTCAACTTTTAAAAGATGTTTGAATGGTGATGTACACAGTGATAGATGTTAAGGACTAACGTTTATAATAAATACATCTGTATTGATTTTAAGATCTTTTCATCAATCATACGTATTGGGATCATTTGTATTAATGTGGACCGGAGGGAGAGGGTGACGAGCAGAAGCTTCACTTTCCTTTTTTATTTCAATTCCAACTTTGGTCCTGAAGAATATGTTTCTCTGTTGTCCACGTTCATAAAGCATAAAGCAACAGCATCAGAGCACGGTGCAGAGTCTCTAGATGAGTTCACAGGAGTCCCTCGTTCTTATTGAACATCCATGTTGTAGTCCGCTGTATAGAGAACTGTAGTTTCCATAGTTTCCCCACAGCAGCAGACTCACATTCAGGACGTCCGCTGGCGCATCAGAAACACGTCGGAGTGAAAGTGCATTCGGATTCTCTAAAGTACCGCGGTCTCTTCTCCTAAAGTCCTTTTGAATTCTCCTATCCACTATCCCTTAACCCCGTGACGTTTCACTCAGAGGTCAAGGGATAGACGATAGGGTTAGAATGTAGGAGCTGAGTTTTGGATTATCGGAACGCAACCCTGGTATCTATATGAATGAAATGGACACTAAGGAACAGAGAGTTAATGACGTGGAAGGGATTGAGAGCAACGTAAACTTAAATGTAGGATCTTAAGTGTGGTTTGCAGAGGTCCACAGGTATGACATTAGATTAATAATACTTCTTTATCTGTCTTTAAAAAGAGCAAAAGTGGTACTTTTTGCAGTTTGTAAACAAGTTACTCGTCTGAAATGCATTTAATCTGGACATTTTCTTCCTATATCAGTGTTTATTATATCTTACCTATTTCAAACCAATGTTTTCGGACCATTTTAGGGTAAAACCAGGGACAGATTAGTTTTTATTAATACATGTCCGATCTTAAAAAGGTAGGGTAGGTAGTGCGCGAGAATTTGAAAGTACGCAACCAGAAGAAATCTGCCACTTCCTCACAGAGCCCCTCCTCCAACACACACGAACGCACACATGACCAATGAGGGCACGAGATCAGGTGTGTGCCCAGATGGGAGGCTGACAGGCAGGTAGGCCATCCAGTTACTTTAGCCGGCTCAGATGATTGGTCGTGCTTTTTAAAGCGCCACGGCTGATATTTCTTTATGGATTTATTGTCAAAGCACTTCAGATATTCATTGCTATCGGATGTTAAGAGCATTCCATGGAATATAACAAGTGTTTCTGAAGTGAATTACCTACCCCACCTTTAAGTGCATGACAGAGGTCCAAAGGGATGAGATCGATAATAAAACTACAAAATGTCCGTCATTAAAAAGTGCTTAAGACGGCAGTTGTTAAATGAATGTAAAAACTTGAACACGGTAAATGTCTCGGAACTTATGAACAAGGTACTTTACTGCAAATGCATCCAATTTGAACCGATGTTTATCCGTAATCTTAAAATGTGTGGTTGGGTCCACAGGTATGGAATTAGATTAATAACACAACAAATATGTCTTTAACTGTCTTTCGAAAGACACGTCAAAACAACTTTATAAACAAATTACTTTACTCCAAATTGCATTTCATTTTTAACATTATTTTCTATTTTTTTCATATATCGGTGTTTTCGGACCATTTTACAAGACTATTCAGTGCTTCTCAAAGTGTGGTCCGCGGACCACCGGTGGTCCGTGAGCGCCCCCTAGTGGTCCGTGAGTATATTGGTAACATTTCACATTTGAAATAAATAAATACATTTAAGTTTTCCGCACTCTCGCAGGAATATCTCCGCAATGGAGCGAGGTTAAGTTTCACTTTCGATTGCATGATATAGCCCAGCGCAACACCTTCATCACACATGTTGCCACTTGTTTGTACCATTTTCAGGCGATTTGTAATCTGTTCTAGAAAAACGATGTGTTTTTTGATATTTGTGGAGTTAGGTGGTCCGCGAGTGTTTTTGTATTGGTCAAGTGGTCCTTCCTTGGTATGAAAAAGTTTGAGAAACACTGATCTAGATCTAGGGTCAGACAACTTGATTTCTGTATACATCAACTCTCACACATTCTAGATGTGCGAGTAAGATAACATTTAAATAGGTTCCGTTTAATATCCCTATCCCAAGCTTTAGATATTTGCACAGGGTATCCCATTCACACATCTCCATTATGCCTTATGATTTGTATTGTATTTCATAACTGCTTTTCAATACAAATTGATTGAATCAATAGGAAGTGTTCACAGTGAGACAGAGATTTATTTGAATGAATACCCTCCTTTTCCACCACATGATTTGATATCCGAGCATTACAGATAACAGCTAATGACACATTATAGTGAAGGGGGAAACATCTGTGTCATGGCACAGACGGAGGCTTTGAGAAGACATTGTGCGCTAAAGGGAGGGTTGGGAGGAAAAGCTCTCTAAGCCACACTGAACAATGAGGTCACACAGGAAGCCATTAGGAGGAAGCCGTGTATCAGACCTCCTCTGACATTGAGAATATCTGAGCATCTTAATGGAGTGAGTAGTCTCCTAATAACTCTCTGTCTCTTCCAGTAAACGGACCACAGCACCACTGTCTTTCTGGCAACTTCAGAGGATCAGGAAACTATTCCAGTAAAGGCTAAATACTGTATGTTGATTTATGCAACTGGCAAGATATCCTAAATATTCCCTGAAAGGTCTTACCTGCATTCTTTGATGCTGTATTACCAGGAGTTATACGAACATGAGAAATACTGTAGTTAATACGGTCACATCAGCTCCGTTCAGTGGTCATTATGTTCAACTTCAATACACTTTGGAAAAGCTGGAAGGTTACTAGATAGTTCCTTCATATATATTAACATTATGTATCTTGTATATGTTCGCCTGAAGTCAATGAAAACAACTTTTTGTGGCAGATCTGATCCGCAGATTTTGGAAGACAAGGCACAATGTTTAGTTTTAGACCAAACGATCAAATAAACTGGTTTACTAGAAGGGGAATGGTGCTGCTCTGATATCAATTCCATTATCAGAGATTATCATGATTTCTTTTTGAATGCCAAAGAGGGGAAAGGGCTTTGGTAATCTTTTTCTTTCCATTGAAGGACACACATATTTATATCCATGCATATCACTTTGTTTTCCAAAAATGGGATTTACAGAGCCGACCAGATGAGTTTCCCGGAGAAGGATTCCACAATTCCCCCGCAGCAAAACTCACCCCTGACCTCAGACACACACACACACACACACACACACACACACACACACACACACACACACACACACACACACACACACACACACACACACACACACACACACACACACACACACACACACACACACACACACACACACACACACACACACACACACACACCACACACACACACACACACACACACACACACACACACACACACACACACACACACAACACACACATCACACCACACACACACACACACACACACACACACCACACACACACACACACACACACACACACACACACACACACACACACACACACACACACACACACACTACACACACACACACACACACACTAACACACACAACCACACACACACAACACACACACCACACACACACACACACACACACACACACACACACACACACACACACACACACACACCTTTTAATTTGGGTTAACTTTCAATTCTCACTAATATCATTGTACCTTATCTTGTTCTCTATTTATTTGAATATTATTATGTTTTCTGTAAAGCACTGTTTGGGCTGCTTTGTGCATGAAAGGTGCTTTACAGATAAAGTGTATTATTATTAGTGCGAATGCTGTTTTCTGTCTGATGGAGACTTCATACTGACTTCACACGGTTTTAGTTCAAACGTTTGCAGTTAAAATATTCTGCTGCTTTTCAAAGCGTCTTAATAAACATTCATTCACTTACATGTAATATCCAACTCCTGCAGAAACCATTCAACTATTAACTTATTCAGCTATTTCAGGACATCAAGTTCGTTGTTGTTTATACCTTTTTTAAACCTTTTCTTTTCAATATTAAGCTTCTTCACTATTTGTCCTCCTCTTCCAGTTTAACATTTCACTTTCAAGTGTTCAACAAAGTCACGGCAATGCATTTGAGCTGTAACAATTTGATTCAAATCATTTCACTTTTCTGCATTTCTCCGCTAAGTTGAGCAAAACACGCTGACTTGGTCTCTGTAGCTAGAAGCAGCTTCCATTCAGCTACTAACATATTCAGCCACACACGTTCACACTTTACAGCATTCACACGCAGGAAATGCATCTTCTAGTTTTACTTGTGAAGCACTTTGTGGATTGTATTTCTGTGAAAGGTGCTATACTAAATAAACCTAATATTATTATTATTAAACATATAGTTATTAAACTTTTCCGCCACTGATATGGTCTTCCTCACATGATAAACTTATAGGATAGGATAGTACTTCATTGATCCCAATTTCTCACACCGAAGCAAATTCCTGTATGTGTAAACGTACCTGCCAATATTTATATATATATATATATATATATTCTGGAAAACCCTCGCAAAGTGGAAGATAATTGATTCTAAAGAACTGGTTTACATTGACTTATTAACTGTATCTTTGTGTCTCCTTGAGATGTGTGTGATTAAGTGTGTGTTATGTTCTTGTGTTTGTTCCTTGTGGGACTCTTCGTTGTCTGTGTTTTTATGATAACCTTAAATTCTGGCACATGTTTTTATTGCATTCATGTTTCTGTGGTCTTATTTTTTTACTTGTGAATTGTATTTCTGTGAAAGGTGCTATACTAAATTAACGTATTAAACCGGACATTTCTGCCACTGATATGGTCTTCCTCACACGATAAACTCATGCTCTGTAGTGTTTTGACAGATAGTAAACTGTTCAAATCTTTCCAAAGATCCCTTTTTATTCACCTGGTAGAGCATGACGGGCTCGATGCTGTAACCCAGCATCTCTGCAAACTCTTTAGCGATCACAGACTTCCCACAGCCCTAAGAAACAAGAAAAACAGTGTTTTAAAAATCAGATTTCATTACGCTTTTAATGTAAAAATAGCTGTGGTACATCTAGACATCTTATGTGGTCAGTCCATGTCATTTTCTCCTGGGGTTAGAATCTAATTATAAACGCAGACATGCACACAATGGGGCAAAAAAGTATTTAGTCAGCCACCAATTGTGCAAGTTCTCCCACTTAAAAAGATGAGGCCTGTAATTTTCATCCTAGGTATACCTCAACTATGAGAGACAGAATGGGGGGAAAGAATCCAGGAAATCACATTGTAGGATTTTTAATGAATTAATTTGCAAATTATGGTGGAAAATAAGTATTTGGTCAATAACAAAAGTTCATCTCAATAATTTGTTATATACCCTTTGTTGGCTGACAGAGGTCAAACGTTTTCTGTAAGTCTTCACAAGGTTTTCACACACTGTTGCTGGTATTTTGGCCCATTCCTCCATGCAGATCTCCTCTAGAGCAGTGATGTTTTGGGGCTGTCGCTGGGCAACACAGACTTTCAACTCCCTCCAAAGATTTTCTATGGGGTTGAGATCTGGAGACTGGCTAGGCCACTCCAGGACCTTGAAATGCTTCTTACGAAGCCACTCCTTCGTTGCCCGGGCGGTGTGTTTGGGATCATTGTCATGCTGAAAGACCCAGCCACGTTTCATCTTCAATGCCCTTGCTGATGGAAAATCTCACGATACATGGCCCCATTCTTTCCTTTACACGGATCAGTCGTCCTGGTCCCTTTGCAGAAAAACAGCCCCAAAGCATGATGTTTCCACGGACATTTCAGACGGACCTGGACATGTACTGGCTTAAGCAGGGGGACACGTCTGGCACTGCAGGATTTGAGTCCCTGGCGGCGTAGTGTGTTACTGATGGTAGCCTTTGTTACTTTGGTCCCAGCTCTCTGCAGGTCATTGACTCGGTCCCCCCGTGTGGTTCTGGGATTTTTGCTCACCGTTCTTGTGATCACTTTGACCCCACGGGGTGAGATCTTGCGTGGAGCCCCAGATCGAGGGAGATTATCAGTGGTCTTGTATGTCTTCCATTTTCTAATAATTGCTCCCACAGTTGATTTCTTCACACCAAGCTGCTTACCTATTGCAGATTCAGTCTTCCCAGCCTGGTGCAGGTCTACAATGTTGTTTCTGGTGTCCTTTGACAGCTCTTTGGTCTTGGCCATAGTGGAGTTTGGAGTGTGACTGTTTGAGGTTGTGGACAGGTGTCTTTTATACTGATAACGAGTTCAAACAGGTGCCATTAATACAGTTAACAAGTGGAGGACAGAGGAGGCTCTTAAAGAAGAAGTTACAGGTCTGTGAGAGCCAGACATCTTGTTTGTTTGTAGGTGACCAAATACTTATTTTACAGAGGAATTTACCAATTAATTCATTAAAAATCCTACAATGTGATTTCCTGGATTCTTTCCCCCCATTCTGTCTCTCATAGTTGAAGTGTATCTAGGATGAAGATTACAGGCCTCTCTCATCTTTTTAAGTGGGAGAACTTACACAATTGGTGGCTGACTAAACACTTTTTTGCCCCACTGTATATGTTACAATAATGGTTGGATGAAGATCCCAATGACATTTTAGCATCGTTAAAAAAACACGTTGCCATTAGAGAGATTATCACGAGTGTTAAGAGGAATTCTTGATGAGATTCTAAGGAACATTTACCCTCATAGAATTACAAATGAAAGTTCGGATTGGGTTTCCTTTATTCGCCAGACACGGCCACATTTCAAAGAATGAACAAACTACTGATGAGCTGATCACCAGTTTCTATCAACAAAAGAAAAGGTTGCTTGGTTTAATTACCAAACTATTGTAATGTAGTGTTTGTTTGACTGTTGTTACACCTGCAGGATTGTCCCTCTCTCTGTCAGTATGCCTCCGTTACGAAACATCCCTTCTGTTGTTGGATAAAGTTCATGAACATTGTATAAGATGCACATCAGAGGACAATGAGAAGGGGAGGGTTTCAATGTTTGCTGTTCCCTTATTGCACAGGTTTACTACTCCCTGTAACCGCAAGTATATTTCATTGCAACTGGTGAAATGTTCTCAACTGTCTTCTAAATAAAGAATTGTAATCAAAAAATAATTACGAATGAAAGAGTAAAATTATCGAGGCAACAAATACAACAGATTAATTATCTGCAGTATTACTTCTCCTGCTTGTTTAGTGTAGGTCTTCATATATATATATATATATTATCATCATCATTATGACCTACATATTGAACAAACTCTTCGGTTAGAGCTGGCATGTTATGGTATTCATTTAATTACATTTTTATGTTAATTAATTTGAATGTTTTATGTATTGTCTTCTGTTGTATATATTTTTTATTTTTTTTTGTATTCCACACACTATCTTGTCTTCTCATTTTGCTTTAACTCCATTATATCCAATGTTGTTGTATGTTTTTAATCTGTGAAGCCCACTGGGACACTGGGTGTTTCTCAATGTCGAGTAAAGCTGCTCCAGAGCCACTATTTCAAGCATACTACGTCATCGAGTGCCGCGGAAGGACTGTTCCAATGTCCAGCATACTTGGAAATTCTACCGAGCCCGGCGTCCTTCGTTTGGAGAAATGTCGAGGCTGCACATGTGTAGACTCCGCGGTCTTAAAATCCCCACAATGCTTTGCGCACGGACCAATTTCCAAATCTTTGGCGGAAATCACGCTCCATTTAAAGCGGGGCCTCGCATATGACGCACACCTGTTAGCCTGTTCCACCATTCTTAATTTTCAGAGGCTAGGGAGGATACTTGCCTCGCTTCTGAAGGAAGTGACTCGGAAGACATGTGCTACCAAGGAAGCGTCCTCGACCTTGAGAAACACCCACTGTGTTTTGTGGTATTGGGCTATACAAATAAAGTTTGATTTGATTTGATTATCATTACCCTACATATACAAATACCAGATTTCACATTCACCAGCTGTACTGTATGTATATTAGGATCTCCATTAGCACTAGCATGAGCATTGGCTATTCTTCCTGGGGTCCTCACACACACAAAACATACATACAACAAAATTAAAACAAAACAGCTCAACATTTCATGCAATTTACAGTGCTGTATGAAATGAAAACTAAAATGGAAATCCAATTATCGCCATCCTAAGGCCAAACAAAAGAAAATACATGACATTACTGTACAATGTGTGTTATCTACCTTGGCTCCTATGAGACAGATGTCCTTCACCATGTGAGACTGCATCATGTCGGCCATCAGCTGAGAGTGGCTGGGCGTGCTGATGAAGGTGGAGCTGCTGTTGGGGGAACGCAGATCCTTCATGCCTGCTGGCACCTGGAGGTTAATGAGACAAAGAAAACAGACATGACTAACAGCTTCGAGAAAGGTTGTGGGAAACATCTGGAGTTGGAGAGTTCTGCTGGAGAAACCTGACTTTATTACGCCGAACAAAAATCCAAATTAAGTGGATCAGATCTTGCAAAACATGTTAAACATTTTTGTAAAGGAGTGGGACTTTTATTCTCAGAGATTCTACACCTGAAATCTGACTCGTCTCTTACCTTTTTGTACCTTCAAAATATACCTAAATGTCTCGATAAAAGCAATTCCTACCTTTTTATGATTATGGTGGCGACAAGTAAAGAAATTATTTTTAAAAATCCTGGCTCAAGAAGAACACACCTTCCATTGCTCTACTTATTCATTTAATTAACTCTGTCTAGAAAATAATTGTTAATACTCCAAACGGAAATACATATTGAATGGCTTGATTTGTGTCTATTCCTGACCTCTTCAAAGTAAAACAATGATGTTTAAAAAGAGAAAATGTTCCTTTAAATAAGAATTGACAGACATTACTGACGCACATGTTGAATTAAAAATGACAATCTATGAGATACACAGGAGCCAAAATAATCACTGCTGCTCATACAGCAAATAAAATGATGTAGTCGGTGATATCATTTGTTTGGCTAGAGGATCAGCGCCACTATTTTTAGAAGTCTGGAAAATCTTTGTTCTCCCTGAACCGTGCAGTGAGTCACAAACCCTGCGTTTCATCCAAGAAGAAGAAGAAGAGACATTCAGAGAAAATCAGGACAGATAAGATGGTCAGGCTGCTGATATGTGTGTGTGTGTGTGTGTGTGTGTGTGTGTGTGTGTGTGTGTGTGTGTGTGTGTGTGTGTGCGCGTGCGGGTGTGTGTGTGTGTCCTAGCATTACTATACTTGTGGGGACCTAAATATGTTTACATAGTCACGTGTGGGGACTCGCCTCCCTTATGGGGACAAATTGGAGGTCCCCATGAGGGACATCATTAATTTTAGGGTGAAGACTTGGTTAGGGTTAGGCATGTGTTGGTTATGGTTAAGGTTAGGATAAGTCTCCAGGAAATGCATGTAAGTCAATGTAATGTCCCCTGAAGTGATGTATACATGGTTTGTGTGTGTGTGTGTGTGTGCGTGTGTGTGTGTGTGTGTGTGTGTGTGTGTGTGTGTGTGTGTGTGTGTGTGTGTGTGTGTGTGTGTGTGTGTGTGTGTGTGGTCTGTCATGATATCTGTGAAATGTATTACTCACTCACTGTTTAGTCAAAAGGTTCATAAAGTCGTCACACTCCCGGGAAAGTCAGATTGTTTTATCTGATTAAATAAACAAAGTATGGCTGTACCAAATCTATTTTTGCATTTAAAGTTACTATCTTCATCATATTGTATTACGTATAACCCTATAAGCTTAGTTCAATATGATTGACATAAAATCGTCAATTAAAATAATGAGATGAATTGAATTAAATAAGTACATTTTTGTTTATTTTATTAAATGATCGTTCTTTAATAAATATCTGCATGATAGATCAGGCTTTTATCTTTATATATGCAGTATATATAATCATTATACAGGTACCTGAAAGGTGACGTCTTTGTCTGCAACACTTAATGTCACATCTGCATGACCCTCAACATCCTTTGTTCTGGAAACACTCAGGATGGAGCTGGGAGCCGGCTGTCGAGCATCAAGAATCTCAAACCTCTGAGAAAGAGACACAGAAAACATGTTAGACAAAATAAATACTGGATCTGAACTATTTCACAGACAGAGGTGGGAAGTAGTGGAGTACAAATACTTCGTTACTGTACTTAAGTTCATGTTTCTGGTATCAATACTTTACTCCACTACTTATTTTACTGACGACCTTTTACTTTTACTTCTTACATGTTGAACACAAATACCTGTACTTTCTACTTCTTACATGTTGAACTCAAATACCTGTACTTTCTACTTCTTACATGTTGAACACAAATACCTGTACTTTCTACTTCTTACATGTTGAACACAAATACCTGTACTTTCTACTTCTTACATGTTGAACACAAATACCTGTACTTTCTACTTCTTACATGTTGAACACAAATACCTGTACTTTCTACTTCTCACATGTTGAACACAAATACCTGTACTTTCTACTTCTTACATGTTGAACACAAATACCTGTACTTTCTACTTCTTATATGTTGAACCCAAATACCTGTACTTTCTACTTCTTACATGTTGAACTCAAATACCTGTACTTTCTACTTCTTACATTTTGAACTCAAATACCTGTACTTTCTACTTCTTATATGTTGAACTCAAATACCTGTACTTTCTACTTCTCACATGTTGAACTCAAATACCTGTACTTTCTACTTCTTACATGTTGAACTCAAATACCTGTACTTTCTACTTCTCACATGTTGAACTCAAATACCTGTACTTTCTACTTCTCACATGTTTAACTCAAATACCTGTACTTTCTACTTTTTACATGTTGAACTCAAATACCTGTACTTTCTACTTCTCACATGTTGAACTCAAATACCTGTACTTTCTACTTCTTACATGTTGAACACAAATACCTGTACTTTCTACTTCTTACATGTTGAACACAAATACCTGTACTTTCTACTTCTTACATGTTGAACTCAAATACCTGTACTTTCTACTTCTTACATGTTGAACTCAAATACCTGTACTTTCTACTTCTACATGTTGAACACAAATACCTGTACTTTCTACTTCTTACATGTTGAACTCAAATACCTGTACTTTCTACTTCTTACATGTTGAACTCAAATACCTGTACTTTCTACTTCTTACATGTTGAACACAAATACCTGTACTTTCTACTTCTTACATGTTGAACTCAAATACCTGTACTTTCTACTTCTTACATGTTGAACTCAAATACCTGTACTTTCTACTTCTTACATGTTGAACACAAATACCTGTACTTTCTACTTCTTACATGTTGAACACAAATACCTGTACTTTCTACTTCTTACATGTTGAACACAAATACCTGTACTTTCTACTTCTTACATGTTGAACACAAATACCTGTACTTTCTACTTCTTACATGTTGAACCCAAATACCTGTACTTTCTACTTCTTACATGTTGAACTCAAATACCTGTACTTTCTACTTCTTACATGTTGAACCCAAATACCTGTACTTTCTACTTCTCACATGTTGAACCCAAATACCTGTACTTTCTACTTCTTACATGTTGAACACAAATACCTGTACTTTCTACTTCTTACATGTTGAACCCAAATACCTGTACTTTCTACTTCTTACATGTTGAACTCAAATACCTGTACTTTCTACTTCTTACATGTTGAACTCAAATACCTGTACTTTCTACTTCTTACATGTTGAACTCAAATACCTGTACTTTCTACTTCTTACATGTTGAACACAAATACCTGAACTTTCTACTTCTCACATGTTGAACCCAAATACCTGTACTTTCTACTTCTTACATGTTGAACTCAAATACCTGTACTTTCTACTTCTTACATGTTGAACTCAAATACCTGTACTTTCTACTTCTTACATGTTGAACTCAAATACCTGTACTTTCTACTTCTTACATGTTGAACTCAAATACCTGTACTTTCTACTTCTTACATGTTGAACACAAATACCTGTACTTCTACTTCTTACATGTTGAACTCAAATACCTGTACTTTCTACTTCTTACATGTTGAACTCAAATACCTGTACTTTCTACTTCTTACATGTTGAACTCAAATACCTGTACTTTCTACTTCTCTCATTCTCCAAACAGCTGGTTCCTTTAGTCTGAATGTGTGTTTGGTGCGTGATCATTATTCTTTAGAGTCATTGCGTGCCTATTGATTTGAACACGATCCGTGTATCCATCATTTCCTGGTCTTCTCTAAAGAAGAGGGACCAATGGAAACGTTGTCATGTTGCCGTTGTTCAGCATGGAAACATTCATTAGCTAACAATGACATTATTGTTCTATTAATATAAAGGGAGGTCAGGTACTCTTTAAAACAGCTGCTAGTTATGGGTACTTTTTACTGAAGTACATTTCAAAGCCCATACTTCTTTACTTTGACTTGAGTAAAGAAGTTTAGTCAGTACTTCTACTTTCACCAGAGTATTTTTAATCACGAGTATCTGTACTTCTACTTGAGTAAAGAATGTGTGTACTTTAACATCTCTGCATACAGACGATAGACATTTTATAACTTACGCTGAGTACGCCCTCCACAGCGTTGCGCCCTTCCTTTCCCAGGATGCTTTTGTACGGGTAGAGTCTCTGCACCAGCTGCTGGGAGGACAGCATGGGGAACGCATTCTGCACAAATACAGAAGATATAAATACATGGATTGGACAAAGAGCTGTTATTTTTCTTTTATTGGGCTTTTGGCATTCATTTTCCCCTTGCATTCGGAAAAGAAAGAAAGTTCAAGCGATTATTTGTCCTAAAGAAATATAAAAATTGAACAACAGTCACAAGGCAACAGGTACTGAATGTGATTTGGGATAGAAGTCCATTGTCCAGGCAAGAATTAAACATACATAAAAATCGATGTGCATTTCTGGTGAATAATCCCGCCTTCAATACAGACCCGAATCCCTGAAGATGCCTTCCAGATAAAAGCATAAACTACTCAAATAATGACATTAAAGAATGATCAAATAACCATATATGTAAACAACAAGACAATAAATGATTAGCTATTAAATATTACAAGTGAAGTACTCTCACCAGCACATGGAGGGCAGGAAGCAGGTTGTCCACAGGGAAGTCAGGAAGGCCGAGGTTGGATGATTCCTGGGAGCAAAGCGTGGTCGCTAGAGAGAGCAGCTGAGACACCCTGACACACACAACATCACACATAATCAAACACTACGGAGGATTTAGATATGAAAGAATACTAACAAGTCATAGAAGGCATTCAAAAAGGTCGAAGCTTCAGTCAGAGTCTCTTTAAAGGTCTCCTATTGTACTATTTGTAGGCATCTATTATAGGTCTCAGATATATAAAAAAGTGTTTTGCTCAAAATACCAAACAGATCAATAATGCGTCATATCCCTCTATTTCAGCCCCGTTACTAAAAGTGCTGATTCTGGGTCTGCAGCTTTAAATTAAAAAGGGACCCAGATACTCCAAATCATGTTCTAAACCACATCAAGGATTCTCTCTGAAACAGTCTGGAGCTCAAAGGCTTTCTCTCTTGCCGGTTATACCACAAGGTGAGTTCCTTTTTACTTCCTGCTTCTTCACACACATGCTCTCCAGTACAGGTTAGCTCTGAGTGTTAGCGATGCTAATGTAAACACCGACCATATTACGTCCAAAACAGTCGGGCATTGTTTCTGATAGCAACGTTTCTGATTGGCCCGTGGTTCTAATATTACGTCATATCGGACGCAAATCTGGATCAGCTCCGTTGTTCCCCGTTTTTAGAGATTTGGGTACGGAGGAAAAGAGAGAGGGTTTTATTTTCTGACGCTGCGTGAGTTCCCTGACACACCGGGGACACATGGTTATGTAGAAAAGACATTACAAAGTGCATTTTGCACGATAGGAGACCTTTAATGTACCTTTCTGCAGCTACGTTTGGTCCGACTGTGTACAGCAGCTCCAACTGGTCCTAAAAAAGAAAAGAAAAGAATGTCGGGATGAGAAGAGCTGCGGGGCGACTCACTTAGATCTACTTAGAAACCATTTAGGTAAAAGGGTTTGGGGGCACAAGTTTAAACTCAAAGATTTATAGAAACAGAAACACTGCAGGGTGAATTCCAAAAAGGATTGCACGGCTTTTTCGGTCACTGAACCTGCACACACGAGACAAAAGAAGAGACATTTTCAAAGCATCCACAAAAGATAAGAGCAACCCTGACTGCCTTTCCAAAATAAATACCAGACCCAAATCTTCTCCTGATGGGGCGGCTTGAGGCAGCCCTTCCCCAGGTGGTATATGCCCGTCCTGACCTTCTAGGTACAAGGAGGCGTCGGCACAGTCAAGTCCACGCAGAGCAATTCTGGGCAAGCTTTATAAAGAACTACCTCCCTACCCTTCAAGCTCGGCAAAAGTGGAGAGGGGAGAAACCAAATCTACCCCGGGCACCTTGGCCCATAGGAAAGCTTCAGAACCTTCTCCCGAGCTCAGATGGTAGAGTCAGAGTGGCTGAGGTACTAATTAAAGGGAAATTATATGTACGTCCTGTCAGCCGGTTAGTCTCCCTCACAGAGAAGACCCTGAAGGAACATAAGGACTTTCCTTTGGATCAAATATGTCTCACATATCCGAAGGGCGGCTGTGGAAAATCCCTCTCCCACTCCAAACCCCCTCTACCCTACTCCTGCCACCCTGGAGGGGCGGAGCTAGCTAATCAATAGGCCTGGCTGGCCTCATGCAACTCCTGAGCACCAATTGTTTGTCTGAGTAAATGATCAGTAAATGTTCCTTTCCTTTGTATTTTTCACAGCAGCTTGAGTAGTTTATCTCCCTATTTTCTGTACTGTTAAGATTGCATGTAGTTGCCTTATTTATACATTACATATAATTATGTAAAAAGAGAACTGCTTTGCTGGATTATAATTTGAAGCATGAGCTAATTAAGATGTGTTCTTACCAGATCAACCAGACGACAATTAGGAATAACAAGTTACAACAAAAGGAATGATCTGGAACTCCTGCCTCCATGTGCTCATCTTTGAATCCATTGTGTTGACCGTCTATCCCTGAACCAACCACCCTCAATACTCTTCAATTGGTACATGGGTTATTTCATGATAGTTGACTCTACTTTTAAACAGGATAATGAACTGGGAAGAACAGGTAAGATGACCCAAGTCCTTTACCCTCATTATTGACATATTTTATTGGTGGTGTGAATTTCTTTTTGTGTAAAATAATCTCTTTGTTCCCAGACTGACCTTAAACGGGAGGTAATACACGTCTCTGGCCTGGAAGCGGGATCGGAGGGGGGGGTCCAGAGGGTTTCCTTTGTATTTCGGGACAGGAAGTCCGAGAGCGATGACTCGAAAGTCCTCACTCACACGGACGATCTTCCAGGCGTCCATCTCCTCTTTGGTGTGCTCCTGCAATGCATCATGGTACAAAGCACGTACAACTCACTTAGCTCTACTCACTGGAACTGGACTGAACCTATGCTCAACTAAGTACATGTTTACATCCAACTGCACCTTATATTCTACCTCACACCGTTTTTATAGAACACATATTTCATTATCAACTGCTTGATGTGCAATAATTTACGACTCGTTTACATTCTTTACTGCCTAAACCGTATTGTTCTTGTATGGTAATGTTGTATTGTTTTGTAAGCATACTGTTCAATGTATCATACGTCCAATTTATAGTCACTTTATATATTAAAAGTGTTTAGCTTGTATTGTCAAAATGATACTTATACGGTCTGTTATGTGTGATTGCACCATCGGGAATGCTTGGGATTTCGCTGTGACAATAAAGAAATCCTGCCATTTGATAAGTGTCCTCTCGACTCACGTTTTAGCAAAAAGCTGCTTTTAAACTAGGGCTGCTCAATTCATCTTATTTTAATCGCAATTACGATTTTGGCTTGCAACGATTATGAAAACAACGTAATCGAAATAAAACGATTTTCTTTTTGGAATTAAAAAAATGAATTGTTTTTTCAGTTGAATTACGCTTAAAGTTCAGGGTAATCAACTGTTCAAAACATACTGTTCACATGTTTTTTTGGAGTCAATGGATAATCGTTTTTTATAATCGCGATATCAATTATTGACCCAAATAATCGAGATTATGATTTTTGCCATAATCGAGCAGCCCTAATTTAAACTGCTTTTTGTTTAACAAGTGCAGACTCTCAATGTCACAGTATTAGAGCGGTACCATTTGGAATAAATAACTAATTGCAAAATACTTTTGATTGATATCGATATTGCGGTTTGATTAGAGGAATTATAATCTTTTAAACAATGTTCCAATCATCGAAAAAAATAGTTAAATGATTTTGGTGTGAGTATTTTTAAGGTGATCTGAACCAAACAAGTATTTTTTATTTTGTCTGTAGAATACTGTTTGTAGGCTGGGACTCCACCAAACTTAAAAAGATAATTTCACACATTTTACTTTACAAAACACGTCAATTTTACTCGACTCACTAAAATGCAATTGTTATGGAAAAAAACTGCATTTACTCGGGTTTATTTAACAAGTGCAGACTCTCAATGTCACAGCACTAGAGCTGGACAATTTGGAAAGAATAACTCATTGGAAATACTTTTGATATCACAATTGGTATAATTCAAGGAAACTATAATCCTTTAAACAATGTTGAAATGAAAAGTCTTTTTAAAGTGATCTGAACCAAACATGTATGTTTGATGTTGTCTGTAGTTTAAGGTTTGTAAGCTGGGACTTCTCTGCAGCTCAGCAAAACTTAAATAAGATCATTTCACATATTTTACATTTACCAAATATTGTTTTTCTGTGATTTGGATAGCACCTAATGTGAGCACCATTACAACTCTACTGAACTAGCTGTTAGCTCCAGTAGAAGTATTAGCATCTAATGTTAGCATTGTTTGCCGAAATGACCTGGTAGTACCATTGAAAGAATGCTAATTTAGCTGTTAGCATCTTCTGCTAGTACCATTACAAGTATGCATAACATTAATAATACCTCCTGTACCATTATTTCAAATTACACCGTTAAAAAGGTACTTCAAGTTAGCTATTAGCAACATAGAAAGCATTACATATTAGCTGTTAGCACCTTCTGTTAGCATCATATAGAGACTGCATTTTGAAAACGTAACATGCCCGAGTTCTTTAGTGTCTCTCTGAACAGAGTAATCAGGGCATACAAATATAGACATATTAAAGAGTGCAGTAAGCAGGTAGGAGTGCACTTGTCCATATTGCAATTAAAATGTGGATTGCCTTACTGACAATGGCATCTGTTCCTCTAAACACAAGAGGAGTGTGAACACTCACTGCTAAAGGGAGACAATTGATATAGACGTGGCTTCAGAATAACATGACATATAATGACGTTCATAAACACGGGGCATTGGATAACTCAAAAAAGTGCAAGTGTGGAGAATTTGTTCTGTGTTTGGGATAAGTGGAAAAAAGGGGGTACACTACATATTGGTACCATGCTCCTTCTTGATTGTGTTACCCTGTGAAATTCAATCATTGTGTGTTTATTAACAACCCCTGAAGCCGTGTGTGTCTCTGACCTGCAGCAGCTTGTCGTAGCGCTCCGACGACATGAGGAAGCGTCCGTCCTCCAGCTGCATCTCCCTGTTCTCCAGCAGGTTGTTGAGCACCGGCAGGACGTTCCTCTCTGCCTTCTCCAGACCCTCCAGAACCAGGACCCGGCCCAGAACCGCTGCCCGCACAGCACACTGGGGAGGAGCACAAAGGGAGTGAATAAAGGACACTTGGGTTGTAATGCACAAGTTGTGTGAGAGTTTATAAAAGGATGGTTTTATACACTTTTGCTAAATGCTGCCCACATGTATTTCAAATCAGCAGGTCTTTTCTTAGACAACAAGGTAACTCATGATGTGGGTAATAATTCCCTCTGGTTCATTTCCGTGGCTAAAACACCTGGTTATTGGAACACACTTTACAAACACAACAGAGAAAGGACATAGTCAGTAAACTCAATGGGCCTATTAGCTTTGATCTGTGATGTATGTGTTTTACGTCTGTTGCGTGTTAAAGGTCCCATGTCATGCTTTTCCGGCTATCACCCGTCCCCTTGTGTTATGAAGGTTGTTCTGCATGTAAACGGTCTGCAGAGTCACAAACCCTCAAAGTACACCCTGCAGCGAGTAAAACTCTAACAGAGAAGACCTGTCTGTGCTGCTCCAGAACGCCTCGTTGGAGATGTCTCTTTCTCTACAGTGACGTGCCCATACCCAAATGGACCAATCCGTGGAGCTGTTACGTTAAGTCCGTGGATAGGTCAAAATGGACCAATCCACGGACTTCCTCACACACACACACTCAATCTTTTCTCAGCTGCAGCTCCACCGATTTCTCCTCTCTGACACGGCGAGGCTGGGAGTCACACAAACTCCCAGCCAGAATGCGGGTGTCGGGCTGTGTCTCGCTGTCTCGCAGACGGCCACTGGGCTCACAGGGAGGGGGGGGGGGGGGGGGGGCAGGAGCTCCAACAAGCCGTGTAGGACAGAGAGTGAATACACAGACTCTACAGAGACGCTGTGAGAAACCAATGTGAGTTTGGAACATTGAACAAATGTGAATATATTCTAGTAGACCTCAACACTGGAATCATGATCAGTAGAAATGGCCATGACATGGGACCTTTAAAAGGTTTGTATTCATGTGCTTTGAAGAGGCCCTATTTCACTTGTTGGGGTGTTCCCTTTCTTGTAGTGTGTTATATAGATGCTGGTGCATGTTAGTGGTGCATGTGCACTGCACACTGGGGACAAACACAACAGAGAAAGGAAGTAGTCAGTAACTCAATGGGCCTATTAGCTTTGATCTGTGATGATGTATGTGTTTTTGTGTCTGCTGCGTGTTAATAGGTTTGTATTCATGTACTTTAAAGAGGCCCTATGTCACTTGTTGGGGTGTTCCCTTTCCTGTAGTGTGTCATATAGGTTTTGGTGCATGTTAATGGTCTGCAAGGGCTACAATCCCTGTGTTCCCTCCACCACATTGTATGGCTTAATCTCTCACATTCACATGATGGACTCAAGTGCTCATGTTAATTATTGTGCATTGTCCTTTCTTAAATAAAGACATACAGATACTTCGATATAATCATTGGAGATTCAGGGGATGGAGTTCAAGGCTAAATGCTAACAATTGCAATCAGTTTAACCTCAGGTCAAATCTGCGGCTCCTTTGTGCATCGCGACCTCTGATCCCTGTGTAAATGTGAAGTGCTAAAAGCATTTAAACAAAGGGCAATCAGCTCTTACGGCTCCAAAGACTAAATGAGCTTCGCCTTTCCTCAGGATGTCCTCGGTTTATTGTGTGCGGAACATCCTCCAAAACCGATCCTCAAAACACCGTCAGCTGCTTTAGGAAAGCCTATTTTCTGCCACCAACTGTGGGATAAAAAAAACTCTACTTCGGCGGCGGTGTGTGTGTGTGTGTGTGTGTGTGTGTGTGTGTGTGTGTGTGTGTAGCCTAGCATTACTATACTTGTGGGGACCTAAATCTGTTTACATAGTCACGTGTGGGGACTCGCCCCCCTTATGGGGACAAATTGGAGGTCCCCATGAATCATTAATTTTAGGGTGAAGACTTGGTTAGGATTAGGGTATGGGTTAGGTTTAGGTTAAGGGTTAGGCATGTGTTGTTAGGGTAAGGGTTAGGATAAGTCTCCAGGAAATGCATGTAAGTCAATGTAATGTCCCCTGAAGTGATGTATACATGGTTGGTGTGTGTGTGTGTGTGTGTGTGTGTGTGAGAGCACATTTCTGCAGATATCAAAAAGCAGTTCTGACGTCAAGAGGCAGGAAACCGTAGCTGTCTGGGTGCACCACAGAGCAAGTGGCCATATAATTAGGTTAACATGTAAATACGTGGCAGCCCGTAAAGCTATAGTGAGGACCAGATGCTCTATATTTAACTCTTGATCCATTTTCGGCACCAACGCTATAATCAGATAATTGTTAAAAATGTAAGTGACGCAGGACGGCTGCAGAGAGACGGGAGACACAGACGGACCTTGTTCTCTGAGAAAACATCCAGACCAGACACACAGGAGCTCTGAGGCAACATTTAGAGAGGACTGTTAATATGGAGAGGGAGAAAAAGGCAATTTTCTGCATCACCTTCGTCTCTTTGCACAATATGTTAACGGCACTTAAACTGTCATCCCATTATCCAATCCAACGTTATTTATATTGCACATTTAAAAACAACAGAGTTGACCAAAGTGCTGGACATCAATACATATACATATAAATAATACATATAAAAAGCAGCATAAATACATTTAGACAAAACCGAACTAATGTAAAAACACGAGACAATAAAACCATATTAAAGCAAGACTCTGATACACGATATAAAAACAACTTTAAACGAGTGTGCAAATCAAAATGCTTCTGCACCCAATGCAACTCTCAGGCATGTTTTCAGCTTTTACATATCGGTATTTTCTGCATCGCCTTCGTGTCTTTACACAATATGTGAACGGTACTTAAAGGTGGGGTACGTCATTTTGGAGAAACCAGCTCGAGTGCGCTAGAATTTGAAAATACGCAGCCGAAAATAATCTGCCCCTTCCTTCAGACTTCCTTACAGAGCCCCTCCTCCAACACACACGAACGCGCACATGACCAATGAGGGCACGAGATCAGTGTGTGCCCAGATGGAAGGCTGACAGGCAGGTAGGCCATCCAGTTACTTTAGCCGGCTCAGATGATTGGTCGTGCTTTTTACAGCGCCACGGCTTCCACAGATGACTTTGTTTATGTATTTATTGTCAAAGCATTTAATGTATTCAATGCTATCGGGATGTTTAGAGCATTCCATGGAATATAACAAAAAGTGTTTCTGAAGTGAATTACCTACCCCACCTTTAAGCTGGCATCAAAAGGAGCCAGTTGAGGTGGTTCGGGCACCTAGTTAGGATGCCACCTGGGCGCCTCCCTAGGGAGGTGTTCCAGGCACGTCCAGCTGGGAAGAGACCAAGGGGTAGACCTAGGACCAGGTGGAGGGATTATATCTCTTCGCTGGCCTGGGAGCGCCTTGGGACCCCCCAGTCAGAGCTGGTTGATGTGGGGAAAGGAACGTTTGGGGCTCTCTGCTGGAACTGATACCCCCGAGACCCGACCACGGAGAAGCGGGAGAAGATGGATGGATGGATGGACCTTTAAGCTGTCATCCCATTATTATACTATGTGTGCAAATCAAAATGCTTCTAGTCTGCCCCAATGCAACTCTTTAGAAACTGGTTTAATCTCAACTTCTGTGCATACACAAATCATCCTTTCTTTAATACCAGGCATTTGTTTTGCAGGTATGTTTTGAGCATTCTCATACCAGCCTGACATGCCAAGTAGAGAGGCTGTCAATGTTTATACAGAATAATAAGGTTTTAGTGAAAATGCATGAGTGCGTGAAGGAGACTTGGGCTGTGTGAGGGTTTCTAAAAGGATGTTTTTATATACTTTAGCTGTTGTTAAATGCTGCACACCTGTACTTCAAATCATCAGGTCTTTTCTTAGACAACAAGGCAACTTATTATGCAAGTAAAGAATTCCCTCTGGTTCATTTATGTGGCTAGAAACACCTGGTTATTGGTTCACATTTTACAACAAAACGTCCCTTTTTTGTGTGTTAATTCCCCGTCCACCGTGACGGTTACACTCTATGTTCCCACTTCTCTCCAGGTTGTGCGTAACTATTACAAACTACTGCTGTAAGATTGCAATTTCTTCTTAATTCCACTTGCCGGATTTGAGCTCAGTTGCCACAGCTTTGCACTGACAGACCTTTCCCTTAAATAGCATTGTGTGGTGAGAAGAGATGCCAGCACATTGTGGGAGGACTGCTCTTCACAAATGCAAAACATAAAATATCTTTGGATCCACCGACAGATCATGAAAGAAAAAAGGAGACACGTTAGACTTTGACTTAGCGCTTCTGAGAAAAGTCATTATGGTTGTTACATATGAGCAACTTAATACCTACAAACTGCATCCAACCTTTTATCTTTACACACCGTCACCTAAAAGAATAGGCTAAATATTCAACCTTCCTTTCTACTGCTGCTTTTCCAGAGATCATCTCACAACACATGTTTTTTATACTTCTTAAAATCGACTTTAAATGGTGGAATGAGCTCCCCGTTGACATCAGGACAGCAGATAGCTTACACACCTTCCAGACTGAAAACTCATCTCTTTCGACTCCACTTCGAGCGATAGAACTATTAACAAAGCACTTATATACTAACAAAGGACTGGCTTATCTAAAGCCAGTTGAGTAGCACTTGAAATGTTTAGCTCTATGAAACCTGATGTACTTTATGATTCTGTTTTCTTCAAGGTTGTATCTTGTTGGTCGAACGCACTTATGGTAAGTCGCTTTGGATTAAAGCATCAGCTAAATGCAATGTTATGTAATTATTCTTGTTTTCTATTTCATGTTCTAGTAGTGTGTGTGTGTGTGTTGT